AGCTAATATAGAAAATTTTGTAAAAGATTTTACAAATTAATAGAAAATTTTACAAAAGAAAAGAAAATTTTGAATTTTTTGTAAGCTATAGAAATATAAAACAATAAAGTATTTTTTTAGTTAAAAAACTGACTAACATCGTATGACCGATAAAAAAACAGGCTCCAGTTGGCTTGGAAACGACGATCGTTGACATTTCCCATATAATTTTACATATAAATTACCAGCAATCTTCATTTCATAGCCATCGCTGACGCCGTTTTTTTTTCTATCATAGGGTGCTGATATTTATTAGAGAAATAATTATTTATTTCTACAACAGTACTATAATATGTTTATGTATTATTTTTAATACAAATAATTATAACACTTTTATTATATCCATTAGATACAAAATTGGTGTGTTTGCTAAGTAATTATATTAGTTTACATCTGTTAATCCTCTAACAAATTTACTCAAATCACCTCAATAAACCTTATAAAATAATAAAATATACAATTATTATTTGTACAAATAATCTAATTACAGCAAATATTGTGAAGGCTTTCATCTTTTTATCTTACTCATTTGTCTCCAATTGAGGCGCAAAACTTGGCTACTGACTGGAACAATACAATCGATAAGATAAGTGATTGATTTCCACAGTAGCGCCACATAACATACCTACTTTGTTTAACTTGCAGTCAATTCATAAAATATTTTATTTCCAACCATATACAGGGTGAGGTTCCTACGATGTTCTCTATGGGCATCTCGGAAACTACTGGAGATGTATGGCCAAGAAAAGTTGTATGGCCAAGAAAAGTTGAACCAATAATCCTACACGCTTTTCTTCATTTGAAAAACTCCTATTTACAATTTTTGTTTATTTTAATTTACATAGATTGGATGTGACAATTTCATATTTCTGAGAGCAACGACGATTGAACTTGTTTCCATGGCTAACTAAGTGAAATTCGTCAAGAAAGATAAGAATTGGCTATAACTCAGTAATTTTGCGAAAGAAACATATTATAGCTTATATCGCTGAAAAGCTTAAAAAATGGCGCTTTTTATGAAGTCATGGCCAACTATGGTTTACATTTAATAAAACATATGTTTGTGTCATATGTCAAAAATGACAGGCTTTAGAAAAAGTCGGAGAACGCAGTCTCATTAGGGATGTGATTATCTACAACTTTTATCTGAAAACTCTTTGTCTAAAATAGATTATAATGGAATTAGGGACAATTTTTAAAATAGCCAAAATTTGTTTTTTTTTTTAAATATCTAGTAAGCCATGAACTTTTTCAAAAATCTGAAAGGCGCATATTTATGACCCCACAAAACTGCAATTCTTTCCCCATTAAACCGACTCTCTATCTCCAGTAGTTTCCGAGATACCCATAGAGAACATCGTAGGAAACTCACCCTGTATATAATGTTATTATATACATACATATATATTACACACTTTTTAACATTTTGAAATAGTCACATCTACCTTTAGTTCCATCATCCACGTTCCAACAAATCCTTTTTGCCGCTATCGATTCAGCAATTAAATCAACTTTTTTCCCTAGCAACTGTTAAAATTGCCTTATATTTATCAAAAATAGTAGATAAAATACTACTTTAACCGCAAGGGTAGATTAAGTGATACTTTAACAGCGAGGATAGGTTAAAAACTTTATTTCTACTCGCACGTTTTTTATTTGCTTCCATTTTTGAAAATTTTTGTATTCTTTTTCATAAGTTATTCGGGATTTAAATGGAAGTAGTTTGGATATGGCGTTTGTCGCCTCAGCCTGAATATCTGTTGGTAATTTACTTATTTCGTTTTGAGCCATTTCTGGCTCCAATTCAATCAGCAATCGACACAAAAGAGAATTAAAAAATATTGACTCAAAACTGACAACTAAAGACAGCTTTATGTATTTGTCAAATTGCATAGAAACCAACGCCAACCCAGCGCAATATTTTTTTCTACTCGTAATAAATTCCTTGAAATAATAATTTCTGAATATTTTTTAAAACGTAACTCGCTATGGAAAAAATAATGTTTTATACACGACGATAAAATTGCATTATCGTCTCCCGAAATTAATTCACGAGCGATGAAATCGCGAATCTGTTCGGTCGACGATAAAATACCACTTTATCGTCTTGTATAAAATTAACTATTTATTTAATCTCCCCACCAAGAAAAACTCCAAAAATAAAAGCAAAAGTTTTTTTGTCACGACGCGCATTCGTACGACTGAATGAAAACTTTGCGAATAAAAGAACATCCGCAAAAGGTGCAGATATATGCACCATTATTATTTAAGGACGAAATGTATGGAAGAGGCACTACTCTGATCAATTTTTGCATGATATGGTATCTTGTAAATAAAGAAAAGATTGGAATATCTCAAAAGTATATAGTCATTGAAAGTAGTCATGAGAAAGGCTTCTAAAAACAGCACTTTTCCCACCTGATAACGTAAGAACAGCAGTATCACCGCATAAAGGCTGACAACAACTTTATGATTCTTAGCAACTGTTTTGATGCGCGTCTATTTTTTGTTTGGTACACCGGTTTAAAACCGGTTTTGGACTAACACCAGTTGTCAAATATGGGATACTCGGTTTCAAAAGTTATAATGTATATAACCATATAAGGTAATATGTATTCGAAAGCTGATGGCACTTACACAGAAACTAAAGAGGAAACTCTTAAAAAAATTAATAAAAATTCACTTTCCGGCCTCACTAATTCTGAGGGACTCTACTAGGCAAACCAACCTAGACCCAAGGCTGGCCAGGTCAAGGCCTGTGGATTGGAAAATTGCCACAGAAGTTACCAGACCAAGTAGAATTAGATGGGCAATAAATCAATTCCAGCCGTATAAATCTCCGGGTACAGACGGTATATATTATATATACTACTATATTATTTATTACTACCATACTATTACAGAGGGGAATAGAGGCATTAATACCTCACATATGTAAGATTCTCAAAGCTAGCCTGGCATGGGGAGTCAATCCAGAAAGATGGCAAAAGGTTAAAGTCATATATCTTCCTAAGGTAGGCAAGGTATCAAAGTCGATAGAGGAGAAAGAAATAGCAATGGCCGCTTTTTTAGATATTGAGGGAGCATTCATTAATGCTACTACCGGACTTATTAGTAAATGCAATGAGTAGTAGCTGGGATAGTAGGGCCGAGACAAGGGAGATCTTTCTCGTAAACCTATCTAAGTATGTCAAAAATTTTCAGGCAGAAATAACGGCAATCCACTATTGTGTAGAACTAAAGGCACTTGGTTCCGCAATTCTAGACTAGTGTGGGACTGTGTGCGTGCTTTGAATACTTTGGGCGAATGTAGCACTGTTACCTTGGCCTGGGTGTCAGTGCACGAGGGTCACAAGGGTAACGAAAAGGCAGATGAAAGGGGCAAGCAAGGCTCATCAGTGCCATTCATAAGCCCAGAACCTTTCCTCGGCGTTGCGAAGGCGGTCACAAGAATGGCCACGGAAGGATGGGTGGCCAACAAATCTCTAGAATGGTGGAAAAACTCACCAGGGCAGAGACAGGTGAAAAGGTTCATTGTAGAACATTCGCCAAAATGTATCTGATAAGCAAGGACAGAAAGACAGTCAAAGCTGTAGTAGGTCTACTAACAGGGCATTGTAAGCTAAATAGGCATCTAAAGCTGATGGGACTGACAGACGGAGCTATGTGTAGGTTCTGCCAATCTGAAGAAGAAACGACAGAACACATTTTATGTCGGTGTGACAGCCTGGCAAATGTGCGGTTCTCGGTAATAGACAATGATAGGACCAGCGAGCTACATGGAGGGTTCAGTCTACAAGTTGCTAAACTTTGTGAAAAGGATAGGACTGGAGAATGTAATCTAAGGATCAGAAGAGGACCACAATAGATCTGAGAAGGTCGCAGTGGATCAGGCCGAAAGCCACCTCTATGAATCTAATCTAATCTAATGGGATACTCGGTGTCATTATCACCATCACCACCATTTATTCCGTCCACTGCTGATCAAAAGCCTCCCATTACCTCTAGCCATTTATTTGTATTTTGTGCCACTTGAATGCAGTTTCCAGCCACTTTTTTAATATCATTTGTCCATCGACCAGGAGGTCGTCCTCTGCTTCTGTAGGCCTCGTGTCTTGGTCTCCATTCCACAAGTCTCTATGTCCACCATTCATTTGTTATCCTAGCCACATGTCCATATACTCGGTGTACCGTTGTTATAATCACAACCGGTATTGATCTCGACACAGGTGTTGAACTCGACACAGGTGTGGATCTTGATAAAGGTGTTGATCTCGACACAGGTGTCGATCTCTCTACCGGTTTTGATCTTCTTCTTATGGTACCATCTTCATTGCAACAATCTCGGCGAAACATTGTCTGTCCTGTGCAGCTCGAAACACGGCTTGTGAGTCTAGAACAGTCCAATCTCGTATGTCAAGTGCTGGCAACTCTCAAATCCTCGTCTGTCTTCTATCTTCTCTTCGATGATTGACTTTAGCCGCTTTGCTCTACTATTCTGGGTGACATGGCCCAGGTATTCAATCTTTCATTTTTGATATTTGTAAGTGGTTCCCTTTCTTTGTTAAGCTTCTCAAAAACCTTCTCTAAGTCGAGGTCAAGGTCCGATGTTAACCAGGATCCCAGGTGTTGACCGTTTATGTTGACCCAACTTATTGACCGTTTCTACGCATTGGTCGTATATTTGTATGTCCATGTTGGTGGAATATTGTATACCAAGAGCGGCTGGTGGTATCAGTGAAACTGGTACCAGCCACTGGATGTAAATAGGCCTTAATAAAAAACTATTAGCAAGAATGTTCGTCAAGAGAATTTTAAATAATTCAAATAATTTTATTTGTTTTCTTTTTGATCCGCCATTGATAAATAATAATTATTATCCATATTTTTAATCTACGCCATTCATATCAGTCGTATCAATTTTGAATAGCGGCGATAAAACATACCATTCTATAAAAACATTATCTATGTAGTATTAAATATAAGTTTTTTGATATTCTTTATCTTTAGTATATCATCATGTTCGCTAATGATCGCTCCTGATGTGCGTCGGATATATTTTGACAACAAAATTTTAAGTAAGGTAAATAAATTCCCTTAATAATTATACACTGAATGATTAAGTAGAAAAAAGTTTGTATTTTTCGCTAAAATCGATATCTTAAGATCGTCTCCTTAAGCCCCGTCTACACAAAGGATTTTACCTGTCAGTCTTACCTGTTCAGTCAAAACGTATCCAGCAAAACGTTGTCTGAAGACGAAATAACGATCCTTTTTACTTGAACTGGATTAAAACGGAAACCCGTCTAGAGAGCTGATGGGATCATTCAGTTTGACAAAAAAAATGAATACCGGGTGCGTCTCAAAAGTGGCTCACCCCTATAACTTTTTTATTTTTTTAGTTAAAAACGAGATTTGGTATGTTAGTATATGACATAAATTAGGTTTGATTGACGTATTCAATTGTTTTTGGTCAATTCCTGTTTCGCCGGAAATGACTACAACTTATGATTTTAAATGGCACCCTTGGTATATTTCTACTTTATTCGATAGAAAATGACACTCTGAATCGAATGACATATCATATGTCAACTTTTGACATATTCGCTCAAAAACATATTGTATTTTAAATTTTAATTTAGGGTGACATGGCTGTGTTAAGAACACTAATTTTTAAGCAAGGCGCCTTGAAAAATAGATTTGATCGTCTATAATGTTTTTAGTGTCTTATCCTGGCCGGTTAAAAGATGCCCAAATCGTATTTTTAATCATATCTCATTTTTTTCAAATGGAACAAGGGTGACTCATTAGCATATTTGGGAAAAGCATTTTTTAGGAATAATTTGATACCACACACTTGGTATTTCCAGTCAAATTTTCGTTACGAGCCGCAAGTTATAATTTCAAATAAACCATATGCGAAAATGTCAAAAGTTGACATTTGATACGTCATTCTATTCAGAATGTCATTTTCTATCGAATAAAGTTAAAAAATAACGAGGGTGCCAATTAAAAATCAAAAGTTGTAGTCATTTCCGTCAAACAGGAAGTGACTGAAAAGCCGAAAAAAATCAATTCTAATTTATGTCATATACTAACATACCAAATCTCGTTTTTTTTAACTGAAAAAATAAAAAAGTTATAGAGGTGAGCCACATTTGAGACGCACCCGGTATAATAAAATCTTAAAAAAGGCATGTCAATGAGAGATTATATCTTTAAAGTATTTTAATTATTAGTTAAGATTTTAACTGATGATTCTTATATTATATCGTATCATGGAAATCACTTTTGATAAAGAATGTTATCTTTCAACATTTAAAAAAATGATGTAAATTACATTTTGTCCTTTTTTATTTGCAAATTTGTGATTTTATTAAACATGATCTTGCATCATAAATAGAATAAATGTTCAATAAATATCAGTTTTATATGATTATGTGCACAGAGAATATTTTTACAAATATCTAAAAATAATATTTCAATTAAGACAGGGTTTCATTCAGTGAAAAACGCACAGCTTTATATTTTTGATTGGTATATATCGAAAAATTGGCACCATTCCCATTAAATTATTACATGTGACAGTTAGGTATAAATTTGATTTTGTAAGTGATACTAAGTGTGTGTCTATGTAATCAGAAAAAAAAGCAAAATTATGAAATAATATATTCCCTTAGGAAATATGTATTCTTTGTATGTGATAAGTGAGTGGTAATATTACTCTTGAACATCGCTCCTATTATTATGTTTCTAACCTACATTCATACATATCAACATTTTCCTTCCTTTACTATCACTAATTTGTTTGGTTTTAAATCAAAAATTACTAACTACAATACAGAGCTGCAACAGTCAGTTAGGTTAGTCTTAAATCATTTCTGATAGTCTTAAATCATTTCTAAAATCAAAATTATTTAAGTCTTAAGTAAATTTCAATATAAAGTTCAAATGACTTCAGTTCTAAGTCTTTGACTTAAGTCATTTTCTTTCAAGTCAAATCATTTTTGTGAAATCAATATAACATTATTTAAGTCTTTTTTTACTTAAATCATGATAATCTGCAAGTTAAGTCAGTAAAATGACTTAAATCAATATAATTTCCCTCAAGTCAAGACACCGAGAATGTTAATATTCATTTTATTGTATTACCCATTAACCGACTTTTTTATTATCTATATTAATTTATTGTACAGGGTGGTCGGAATTGGTCTGTTTTAACAGAGAAAACCTATTTCCTGACTAGATAGAGCAAAGCCGATATAGATGTCATTGGCTCGATTTCTGAGACACGTTTATTTGTTAACGGAGATACGGTTTTTTTTAGAATTTTTTACCATTTTGAAAATTGCCCATAACTTTTTTATTTCTCGCAATATTAAAATTCTGTAAAGACGTTCTTAAGGCACTTTTTTAAGCACAATCCAGTGGCGTAGTGAGTTTTTTTCGTATGCTTGCTCTTTTTGTCAGAAATAATAAAAAATATAATTTTTAAATGGATATCATAGCTGGCTATGAACTTAAAAACATGCTGGCGTTCAGCCATTTCGAACGATATAAAGTTAAGCTATTTCTAAGAATAAGAGAAATATTAGGTTTTTCATCTTTCTATCGAAGTGTGCCTTGATTTTGTGCTGACCTAGTTGTCTAATTATTTTTTATCGCAATTTAATATTCTAAATTATTATTTATCTGCATAATTAAAGACTTTTGAAAAGGTAAATTAGCATTCTATATTAGTTTTAGTCGATACAATAATCAAAGAACAAAGCTAAAAAACGTATTTTTTGAGTGACGAATAGTTCTCTAAAAAACTCATCTAAGATGTTCAAACTGAGCACCTCCTCGTTGAATAGTTTTCTAAAAAACTAATTGAAATCGTCAACGAGTTACAACGATTTATTAGGCGAACTCGTGTAATAAGTCCAAAAGCTTGCCTAGTAGCAATTCTTCTCTCGGCCAATGATTCTTCCCTTATATAAAAGGCCTTTTAATTTCCCCCGTAAAAAAGTCGAAAGAAGTTAATTCACAGAACCTAGCAGGCCAAGATATGGGGCCCCTTGTTCCAATCCGACTCTTTTTAAATTCTCCATTTAATGGCGTTTTAATTGTAATTGGCAAAACTAATATAGAATATTGGATTTATCTTTTCAAAAGCCTTTAATTTTGCAGATAAATAACAATATAGAATATTAAATTGCGATAAAAAATAATTAGGCAACTAAGTCAACACAATAACAATGTCCGCTTGGATACAAAGATAAAAAACTCTAATATTTCTCTCATTCTTAGAAATAAATACCCATAACTGTATATCGTTGGAAAGGGTTAAATATCGGCATTTTTTTAAGTTTATAGTCGACTATGATTTCCATTTAAATAATTATATTTTTTATTATTTCTGACAAAAAGAGAAAATATAGAAAAAAACTGACTAAAAAAGTGCTTTATGAACGTCTTTACAGAATTTGATTATTCCGCGAAATAAAAAAGTTATGAGCAATTTTCAAAATGGTAAACAATTCAAAAAGACCCCGTATCTCAGTTGGCAGTGAAAATATCAACAGGCGGTTTTTCCCATTAAACGTGTCTCAGAAATCGAGTTCATGACATCTACGTCAGTTTTGCTCTATCTAGTCAGGAAATAGGTTTTCTCTGTTAAAACAGACTAATTTCGACCACCCTGTACATACAGATTAGAATAAAATATTATATAAATTAACAATAATAAACAATAAATAGATAAACGCAACAAGGACATAAAAACACATATAAAAAAACATATAAATTAAATTAAATTTTGTGGTACTTTGTACAGCGGTACACAGATACGGTTTTCACAGTTGCTACTTTTTTATGAAACTAAAGATGATAAACACATTTTTGATGCCATTGTGAAAAATTTACGATAAAAATATATGAAAAAAAAAGATTTAAATCTTTTCTAAAAAAAACTTAAATCTCATAAAAGACTTAAATCTTTTAAAAATTTAAGTCTTTTGTAAAATGACTTAAGTCGTTAAAAAAAGATTTAAATCTTTTTTAATGACTTAAATCTTTTCTAAAAAGACTTAAGTCTTAAAAACACTTAAATCTCTTTTAATGACTTAAATATTTTTCTATTTCAGAATAAAGTCTTAAACCACAAGTCATTTTGAATATAACTTAAATTTTAAGTCTTAAGTTAGCTATCGAAATATGACTTAAAATCAAATGATTAAAATTAAAAAGACTTAAATCTCTTTTAATGACTTTAATATTTTTCTATTTCAGAATAAAGACTTAAACCACAAGTAATTTTGAAAATGACTTAAATTTTAAGTCTTAAGTTAGCTATCAAAATATGACTTAAAATCAAATGATTAAAACTAAAAAGACTTAAATCTCTTTTAATGACTTAAATATTTTTCTATTTCAGAATAAACACTTAAACCACAAGTAATTTTGAAAATGACTTAAATTTTAAGTCTTAAGTTAGCTATCAAAATATGACTTAAAATCAAATGATTAAAACTAAAAAGACTTAAATCTCTTTTAATGACTTAAATATTTTTCTATTTCAGAATAAAGACTTAAACCACAAGTAATTTTGAAAATGACTTAAATTTTAAGTCTTAAGTTAGCTATCGAAATATGACTTAAAATCAAATGATTAAAACTAAAAAGACTTAAATCTCTTTTAATGACTTAAATATTTTTCTATTTCAGAATAAAGATTTAAACCACATATCGTTTTGAAAATGACTTAAATTTTAAGTCTTAAGTTAATTATCGAAATATGACTTAAAATCAAATGATTAAAATTAAAGACTTAAATCTCTTTTAATGACTTAAATATTTTTCTATTTCAGAATAAAGACTTAAACCACAAGTCATTTTGAAAATGACTTAAATTTTAAGTCTTAAATTAGCTATCAAAATATAACTTAAAATCAAATGATTAAAATTAAAAAGACTTAAAACTCTTTTAATGGCTTAAATATTTTTCTATTTCAGAATAAAGACTTAAACCACAAGTCATTTTGAGAAAATGACTTAAATTTTAAGGCTTAAGTTAGCTATCAAAATATGACTTAAAATCAAATGATTTATGTCAAAAAAAGACTTAAGTATGTTGTTTTTGGTCACTTCCTGTTTTACCGGATATGACTATAAATCTTGATTTTAAATGGCACCGTCGGTATATTTTTACTTTATTCGATAGAAAATGACACTCTGAATAGAATGACATATCATATGTCAATTTTTGCCATTTTCGCTAGAAAAAATCATATTTTAGATGTCAATCTAGAGTGCCATAGCTGTGTTACAAATACTAATTTTTAATCAAGGAACCTTGGAAAAATATATTTGATCGTCTAATGTTTTTCGTGTCTCCCGATTGGCCTGACCGGTTAAAAGATGACCAAATCGTATTTTTAATAATATCTCAATTTTTTCAAAGTGAACAAGGGTAGCTTATTAGCATATTTGGAAAAAGCATTTTTTTGCGAATAATGCGATACCACATACTTGGTATTTTGAGTCAAATTGTCGTTATGAACCGCATGTTACAATTTCAAACAAACCCACAAAACATCCCCCTTTAGAACTTCATCTGTCATGTTAAGAAATGAAAGTAAATAATAAAGCGCCTCTCGTGTTTGTTCGCACTCTAAAAATTTCAATTAATGCCTGTATATATTTTTTAAATTTATTTTTTTTTAATTGTAAAGTAATATATTACATTTAAATGGAATATATTACACTACAATTATGTCAATTACAGGATTACAGGCATGTTTTCTAACATTTTTTAAATAAAACAAATTGCTAAATTTCAATATATGTATATTTGTCGTAGGTATGAAAAAAGTAAAATATAAAATGGACAAACGCTTACTTACGTTGCAATAAAACTTCCACTTTTAATCTTGCAATCCAAACGGAATATTTCTATTTCACAAATAGAAATATCCGACAACACTAAAATCACTGAAACTTATATACTGATATATATGTCATAATATTTGAATTTTAAATATGTATGTAATATAATTTAAATTAATATATAATGCAACTTTATACTAAAAAAACATTTATACATTCACAAAATACAAGAAAGTCTAATAATATAGTTTGAAAACAATGAATATTGAGATAAAATTAAAAAAGTTAAGCGCGACCCCTTGTGTCAAAATTAAATGATTAAATTTCCGCAATTTTTACACCATTTGATGACCGGTGGCGCCTCTAGTGTTTGTTCGGCTCTTTGAATAAGAAGACTAAGGAAGGAGCATATCAAAAATCTTAGGTCCACCTTGAGGTCCACCGCGATGGGCCTCAAATATGACCGACTTAAATTCCGGTTTATCAATGCCGTTCTAATTTTATTTAAAAAATGTAAAACTATGATGTAGGGTAGACGTGGGGTAGAATCAATAATTTGTTAGTTTGTTTTACGTTGTGAATAAATGTTGTTAGTTATTAAAATTGTTATAAAAATATAAAATTCTAATAAAAATAGATAAGTTACAATAATTATTTATAACCATAAACATCCGATACTCCGCTACTGAAGCAGGTAAGTCAAATTGACGTATCTAAATTCTTTGACATCTAATCTTTCACAAGTAGTAAATAAAAGCAAAAATGCAAGAAACAATATATAATTAGTTAATTTAAGTGAATTTCATAAATGAACGGTTTACTACACGTATGTAGTAAATAGTAGTATAAAAGTTGTTCCATTATTTCACTCGATTTTAGCCGCGATCTACCGCACGCTACACAACCAACTTTTTTAGAGTCTTTTTCCATAAATCGCGATAGTGTCACTGCTAATTTAAGTTCTGCCACAATTTCCATCTAAATTTACTACCTTTATACAACTATCAGTAGTAGAATAAATAATAAATAACATAAAATAAGCTCCGTAAAGACTGACAAATCCACAAAATTTCAAACCAAATTCAAATATGTCAAATGAACCGTCAAACAGAACTGTCAAGGATCCTCACCCTAGAGTCCTTTTTCCGCCCACCATGCATTAATACATGGATAGCATTATGCCCCTTCCTTAGTCTTCTTATTCAAAGGTTCGGCTGTTGGTCTTTTACTCCCACTTATGGCCATTAGAGAAAAAGTTCTAAAAGGGGATGTTTTGTGAACAAACCATATGCGAAAATGTCAAAAGCTGTCTCTATTCAGAGTGTCATTTTCTATCGAATAAAGGAAAAAAATACCGAGCATGTCATTTAAAATTCAAAAGTTGTAGTCATTTCGGGTAAAACTGGAAGCGCCCCAAAACAACTGAGTACTAGTTCTAATTTATTTCATATACTAACATACCAAATCTCGTTTTTTTTTCTCTAAAAAAATAAAAAAATTATAGGGGTGAGCCACTTTTGAGACGCACCGGTAGAGAAATTTATAAGAAGCGTCACTTGTATACTTAGAATAATAAAATTAACGATACTTTAAAATTACAATAAAATCTAATAACAAACTTCAAAACATGCCCTCACATATTTAAATATGCAAATTAGTATCAAATCTTTCCTAAGCCTACTCAGTATCAAAAATGTCAAACACCTGAACGTCGATTATATTACTAAAAAAAATTAGATAACATAAAAAGAAACAAATTTGAAGTGGGTTGCGAATCGTTAATTACGGAACGTCCAATCGTAAAATTACTATTGATAAAATATTAGATTAGTGTTTTTTGTGTTTTCAAGGTAAATGTTATCGTTTTCACAGCTAAATATCGGTGAAAAAACCGCTCGTCATCCCGGTACTTGCAATATCGACTTTAAGACCCCAATAAAATGGCAGATAAGACAGAGGAGAAAAATACAGATGAGATTAAGAAGGATAAATCTAAACTAGACGCGTAAGTGTTATATTATCTTGTTTTTTTTTAAATAAAAATTGCACAATTTAAACCAATGTGGTGTTTTCTTGTTGCAGGAAATTTGTCGATGCTGAGGAAGAAGCTATAACGAATTCATCTTTTATAGGATTGGTAACTATCATAGTAATAAAAAGCTTTTCACGCAAAAAGTTTTAGTCCACTAAATAAGGACACGAAAAGAGCCAAACCTCCGATTAAATCGCCGACCATGACTTTTTAGGGCGATTTTGTACCTTTTGGGGAGTAGATTTAGGGGGAAAATTGCAACACTGTGTATAGCCGGTATAGGGTTCAGAACCAGGAAATCCCGAAACCAAAAGTCCCGGGAATTCCCGGTTCTTTTGAGACATCAATGAACTGGGACTGGAAAATATTAATTCCCGGTTGTTTCGGTACTTTCGGGACTCGGTGATAATAATTAAAAACATATTTTTTGTTACATGCGAAAGACTTTTGATACTTTCTAGCGATCGAAATCAAACTCTTCTAAATAAGTATAGTGATGCTATATCTTACGGTTCTTACTTCTGAAGTTATTTTGTTTAGATTGGTTGACGTTGTTTAATGTAATTTTTAAGTTACCTATATGTTTTCTTTTCTTTTTTCGCTTGTGTTCATGTTTACTTTCTCATGACTTAATAATTTAATATTATTTCATTTTCTTTCGGTTTTACTTTTGTTGAGATCCATCCCTTGCTTGCTAATTGACGAACTCCACAATCGTTAAACGAAAATATTTTATTACGGTTCTGGAAACTCTAATTAGTACTACCAATTATGGTTCAGATCTTTTTGGCCATCACCAGAACCGGGCCTCGGTGACAATAATTAAAAAAATATTTTTTTGTTCGGTGAAAAACTCCTTTGATACTTCCTAGCGGTCGAAATCAAACAATTCTAAATAAGTAATAACGCTATTTCTTATTGTCCTTGCTTCTTTTCTCTTTTGAAGTTCCTATAATATTTATTATGTTATGTTTTAATAGATAGCATTTTTAATTCAATATTTAGGGCTTTTGTTTCAAATTTAGTTAAGTTGGTTTTATGTTGTTTGATGTGAAATTTAAGTTACCTATACTTTTTTCTTTACTTGTGTTCATGTCGTCGGCTTTATGACGAAAAGGCGTATCTCGATTTTTGGCGATTTTGAGATATCAACGTCATGACATGCCCAATGGGTCATATTTTAACATAGCGAATTTGCGCATGTCAATATTGTACCTTTTTCATTTTATATTAGTTTAAAAATTTGCCCCATCTCAAATAATACAATTCTTCGTTATGACGAAGAGACGTATGTTGAGATAGGGCTCTTTGTTATATCAATTATTGTTATACCAATTGTTATACTACAAGAAAGATGGAATTTGAGATAGGTCCTTTTGTTTTAAGTTATGAAAATGCATGCGAGAGAAAATCACACCATTCTACCTAATTATTTTCTGACGGTTGCTTGGGACAAAATAAAACTTCTATCATGGCAGCAGCTCTCTTTTACAGTGTGATTTTAGAGTCTATTTTTTGCCAAAAACCATTGTTAGAATGAGCTAGACTCTGCACAGAGCTGTATCGGGTATGCAAAAGATTGTCCGAGAATAAATGGCCGAATAAAAGGAAAATTTTGATCGAAAGCAAAACAACGAAACGAAAATTGCCCTAATGCAAAATTTTCTGAAATCATAATTTCTCTAAGAACGTTTTAGCAAACCAAAAACTTGCCCGAAAAATACAATAATTTTCATCTCATTATCATTGTCATCCCTACCAATTTTTGGAAAATTTTATTTATTTTGCCTATCATCATCCAGCATAAACACGTAGAATGGATGTCGAATTTGTTATCATTGAACAGGGAAAACAGAAACTGTTACTCCACAGTTATTTGTTAAAAAAAAACGAATGAAGAAACATGTTTTGTTTTTGTTTAGTTTGTTTTTTTTATATGGACCGTGAGTTTAAATGCCCTGTATTAATGCCCTCAATTAACTAAAAAATTACTCAAAATATATTAGTTAAAAAAATGCATTTTTGTATAAAAAACAATATTATTAAAATAAGCTAGATAAGAGTATTTTAATTGATTATTGTCTATGCTTCTGGCATGAAAATTTTCTTTGTTTTCAGTTGATCTAATCCAACGCGAATAAAAGTATTTAAAAATATTTGTTTCTGATTTTTTGGCGATTTTGAGATTTTTTCTTGTATGTATGTATTGTATTTTCTTCTAAGTATTCCATAACGTGAATATTGTATCTTTTTATTATAACAAAACGCCCTATCTCTATTAAACAACTAAAAATAAATTATTAGAATTTACGCTCAATTTATCTTCAGAACGTTTCCTCAATGTCTCCGTTTAAGTGTTACTACAAAAACACTATTAAAAAATTAAAGACTTTACATTTATTGGCCAAATAAAGTAAGTGATTTTCTTTAAATTGCTCTCCTGAAAAGTAGCAAAAATTGAGATACGCCTTTTCGTCCTGAAGCCGACGATGTTTGTGTTCGTCTTAATTTTTTCAAGCCTGGTTACTTAATAATTGGATATTATTTTCATTAATAATCTCAATTTTTTATCTATTTTTCTTTGAAAACCCATCCCTTGCTTTCTTATTGATGAACAAATGCACCATCATTGAACAAAAATTAGTCAGGACCGAAAGTACCGAACGAAACGGAAAATCCCGGTTCTTAAGAGGCGCGGTACCGAAATTCCCGAAAAACAGCTCCGGTTCCGGAACCCTAATAGCCGAAAAATTTGTCCAAAAAATTTCCCCAAATGGACGAAAAATCGATTTTTCGCAAATATCTGCCAAAATATACTATTTACAAAATTTTTCTTGAAATAAAAATGAATCTTAGGTATATATATTATATATTATCTTAGGTCTCATTCTTCTCTGTTGAGGTTGGCGATTAATATGGCATATGACTCTCTGTCCAGAGTTTGTCCATTAGGGTTTGCAGCTGGTCTTCAGTTTCTGGTAATATCACGGTGTCGTCTGCGTATCTTATATTGTTTATAATTTCTCCATTTATTTTAGCCCCTTCTGAACAATTTTTGAATAGATTTTCGAATTATATATTCGGCATAAACGTTAAACAATAATAGTGACAATATGCATCCCTGTCTAACACCTCTTTGTAGGTCTACGTATCTTGTATTTCCTTTTTCTGTTCTGACACAACCTTTGTGATTGGTTCCAGTATGTGTTCCTTATAATGATATAATTATAATTTAGAATTTAGAATGAGTGGGAGGGGGGTTAATCACTGCGACCTTACAGATCTATTATGTCCCCCTTTCTTGAGTTATAACTCATCATACAGTCCCAGGGCTTTGACAAAAGCCAGTATCTGGGACGGTTTTACAGAGGGTAGTTCTCCATCTCTAATATCATTCGTACCAAAGTTCATGGCACGAATAGTTGTCGTCTCGGCGCACTCAGTGATGAGTTGAGCAACTATCTTGCTTTTGTATCTAAAGAGAAGGCGGATTCCACCAAAACTCACCCTTCGATACTAGCGCCACCTCTGGCAGTCCATCTCGACAAAAAAATATAGTTGTCATACACTAGAAGTGTCCCACTTCAAATGACCAGAACATGCATTCAAATATTTATAAAATATGTAGTAAAAAAGTAATACTATAGATGTGCAATATTTTACATTGGTAAAGTATTTGATTACATCCCCTACCACTTGATAACATCCGATACCACTCATCCGATACCTAACAAGTATTTGGCGCCATATGAGGCTACATCCGTATTAGTAAATCCAGCCAATAAATTTCTTCTAATTTATTATTTTTATCACGACCTTCGTACATTCAAATTATTGTACCAGAAATTAGTAATTTGCGTTATCTTATATGCGATAAAATATGCCTCATCTCATTTTTTTTATTAATTAGATATTTATTTCAAGTACATCGCTTTGTTATAAAGCTATCAATCTCTTTCTATAACGCAGAAAAATACTGATATACAAGCAGAAGTTATATTTTGGACAGGCCTAAAGTATAAGTTTAGTTGTACCAATTTTATTTGGCAACCATACAAACTACTTTAGTTAGAAGAACTATTTTTATTAAACAATACATTTCAGTATTTTTTGAGTCTTAAAAAAAACAATAAATTGAACATCTTTCAGATAGTAATTGTAAAATATTTAAAATATTCCATAGTTTAGTTTTCAAAATTACTAATGACTGGTCTAGTCGTACTCCGTACTGGGTAGATATTAAAAAGTTTGTCATTTCTTCTTCCCCTAGTCCCATCAGCGTTAGAGACCTATTCAGCTTACAGTGTCCTGTTGGTAGACCCAGTATAGCTTTGATTATCTTTGCTTATCAGGTCTGCCGTAAATTTTGGGGAAAGATCTACTAAGAACTTTTTCGCCTGTCTCTGCGCTGGTTAGTTTCTCCACCATTCTACAGATTTGTTGGCCACCCATCGTTCCGTAGCTATTCCCGTGACTGCTTTTGCAACGCCACAGACAGCCTAAGAGCTGACGACATGTTTAGAGAACATATTTTAGGCAAGCTAGAATAACTAAAAATATATAGTTTATTAACTGTTGAACCCAGAATCCTAAGTCTGGCTCGGGGGTTGTTCGCTACTGCGCATTTATTTATTTATCGTATGGCTCATATACATGCAAGAAAACCAGACACTTAAAGATAGACATAAAATAAACTACAATGTAAATGAAAACATTACAATGTAAATATAAAAAAAAACAAGTATAATATAAAAAGACAACATAAAAACGTATTTACGGACACTATATATTAACATCTAGATGCCCTATCCATTCCAAAGCTGATGGAGAAGCCTCCAGAAAGTCCCTCCAGTCTTCACCATAAGCGCGTAGGTTGCATTCTCTAGTTATGTGATGGATGGTTTGGTGAGGGGATCCGCAATCACATTCTGGGGAAGGCTACTGCGCAACCCATAACATTTGCAAAAAAATAAATCCAAAAAACATTCTTTAGGCAACTTGAAATTTGTTTATTCTTAAATTTTAGCATCTATTTAACCTAGGAATAAGTATGCCAGACTTTGTTTTCGGGTTTAAAGTGTAACCCGACCGTTCCAAATATGTAT